TAATTAAACCAAACAATTACAACAACAGGCTAATAATCTCAAAAATTATTTTTTTAGCTTATTTGTAAATATTAATAACAAAGTCACATTAAGTTCTTTTATCAAAAGATAATCTGAGAAATGTGTAAGTGATCACTCTCACAATGTACGCGAATGTAAATGTTTGATTTCAGTCACAAACCAGTGAATCTAAACCTAGTAAATACCCTTGCCACATCAAACCCACAAATATAATCTAGTAAATAGTTTACTTGCTACAGTATGTCATAATATTGCAAGTTTATTAGTTCCTGCTGAGACCAAAACAGGGACTTATAATTTTACCTTGGAGTGACCATGCATGTGTCTGTCTGTGTGTCTGTCCGCTCCTGTATCTCAGACATGCCTGGGCATGTTTCATAATCAGATCAAAGATAGCCAACTGGAATCCATCTTGTTTTTTTTAGAAAATGTATCTTGGACAGGATTTGTCAGTTTTTATTTAAATTTGATACAAACATTATACATGTTGAGATACATGTCCATGATGATTTGTTTCATGTTTGAATCCAAAACGACCAACTGTCAGCCATTTTGTTTTTTAAATGTATCGTTAACATGGGTATTTATCTTCAAATTATACATGTTAGGATACATGTCCATGACAATTAGTTTCTCAATCGGATCAAAGATGGTTGACTGCCTGCAATCTTGCTTTTTGACCATACTACTATATCTCTGTACATGAGCCTGGACAAATGAAATTCAGTTTGGATACAAAAAACGCATGAATACAATATCCTGTTTAATTTCTGACCATATATATCGATTTGGGAAGAGTAATTTAAAAAATCTAATTTCTGTTGATACTTGACAAGCCAATTATCTTTGCTCTCAATTACTAACTTTGCTTTTGGTCCATATAATATCACTTTATTTTTGGCATGAATGACATTTCCCCCGAATCCAACAGGAACTAGGTCATTAAAAGTGAATTGTTTTAAATATGACAATTGAGACGATTGTACATATGTCAATGCGGCCGGTAACAAAACTACTTGAATAAATCTTCCAATTCCAAAATGGGGATGCGAATTTGCTCCATCGCTCGATATATCTATAAATACTATTATATGTTAACTCCAGGGCCTTGTTTTATTTTACAATGTCTGCAACTAGAAAGTTTTGGGTGCAGATTATTTTTGTCATTTTTGGTAAAAAATGCTATTTTTAACGGTTAACCAAACTTTGAATTACGGAAAATATTCAATGTTAAACAAAACAACAAATCTATGTTGCCCGTGACTCAAAGTTCGGTTAACTTTTAATTGAAGATGAAGTTACAATTTGGGCGAGGTTTCAAAAAATTTGGCGTGATTTCTAAAATATGAGCGTGGTCATTTTTGTGACTTGAACAATTCAGCATCTCGTATTTTTAGTCCCCGTTCGGACGCAGTCCGAAAACGGGGACTTATGTTTTGCCCTGTGTGCGTCCGTCCGTCCGTCCGTGCGTCCGTCTGTCCGTGCGTCCGTGATCACCTGTATCTCGAACATGCATGACCGATTAAGTTCAAACTTCACTCATACATCACACATTATATGAGACATATGCACATGCATTTTTTTCATGATCCGATTAACGATAGCCGAATAGCGGCCATTTTAAGGCCGAAAATGCATCAAAATCGCACATTTTCACCATTCCGGACCCAGATCTCAGTTATGCATGGACGGATTTTGTTCAAATTTGGTACATACATTAAACATAATAGGACCTTGATGCACGTCATTTTGTTTTTTGGATCGGGTTCGAAATGGCCGACTGGCAGCCATTTTGTTTTAAAGAATTCAGTTCTGGATCCGTATTGGGACATGCTTGGATTGATCGAGTTCAAACTTCACAGACACAAGGTACATCATGTCACAAATATGTATGTGCATTTGTTTCATGATCTCATTAACGATAGCCAAATGGCGGCCGCTTTAAGGCCGAAAATGCATTGAAATCGCACATTTTCACCATTCCGGACCCGGATCTCAGTTATGCATGGACGGATTTCATTCAAATTTGGTACATACATTAAACATGATAGGACCTTGATGCACGTCATTTTTTTTTCGGATCAAGTTCGAAATAGCCGACTGGCGGCCATTTTGTTTTAAAGAATTCAGTTCTGGATCCGTATCCGAGACATGTCTGGATTGATCAAGTTCAAACTTCACACACACGAGGTACATCATGTCACAAATATGTATGTGCATTTGTTTCATGATCTCATTAACGATCTCACACATTATATGGGACATATGCACATGCATTTTTTTCATGATCCGATTAACGATAGCCGAATAGCGGCCATTTTAAGGCCGAAAATGCATCAAAATCGCACATTTTCACCATTCCGGACCCAGATCTCAGTTATGCATGGACGGATTTTGTTCAAAGTTGGTACATACATTAAACATAATAGGACCTTGATGCAAGTCATTTTTTTTTTGGATCGGGTTCGAAATGGCCGACTGGCGGCCATTTTGTTTTAAAGAATTCAGTTCTGGATCCGTATCTGAGACATGTCTGGATTGATCAAGTTCAAACTTCACACACACATGGTGCATCATGTCACAAATAGATATGTGCATTTGTTTCATGATCTGCTTAACAATAGCGGAATGATGGCCATTTTAAGGCCGAAAATGCATCAAAATCACGTATTTTCACAATTCCAGAACCGGATCTCAGTCATGCATGGATGGATTTTGTTCAGATTTAGCACAATGTGTTGTACATATGCAGGTGCATTTCGGTCATGATCTGCTTTGAATGTATATGTCACTCAAATATGAACGGAACGGGGACATGTCATTGACAATGACTTGTTGTGATAACTGTTTGAAATCCAATCTGAATGTTCTTGTTATGTAACATTCGTTTTATGCATTCACCATTTGTATGTGTCGATAAAACTTAGTACATATATGTTCTGGGCTAATGCGCAGATTTCAGTTGAAATATGTGCTTATTAATTACGTAATTTGCATAATTTGCTAATTATTAGCTGTTCCACGACTTTCATTGATAACTAACTAAAATTATTGCTGGCCCAAATCAACAGCCCTGTTTATAGCACATACATGTAAGAACTAGGCGGTAGAAAAAAAATCGAATTTTCTCAGACTTCATTGTTTAAAATAAGTTTGAAGTATGTATGACTTTGAATGGTGGATTTAAAGGTCAGCGTGAGTCATTGGATTGTTTTTGAAAACAGACAGGAGTGGAATAAATAAACAAAGAGTGTTGAATAAACAAGATGTTATTATTTAGGCTGGCCTAAAACACTCTCTCTTTTTTTTATTTTAGATTTATTACGTTAGAAGTGCCCATCATGGATCACAACATGCTAGTTCTTCTCAGTGTTTTTTCCCTACTTTTGATTGTAGATGGCGGGAAGAGCACAAACAATCGGTTCAATTTGGATTTAGAGATGGTTGGTTGAACTGTTGAACAGAAATTTGGCGACAGTGGAGAGACATACATGTCTCTGGACACTATAATGAGAATGATTGTTGGACACAAATGGTTTTGTGAAGACACAATTGGAGGCGAAGAACCAATCACAAGACTGGTTAAGAACCAGTTGAGCAAGGCTAACCTCGCTGTGGTTCGTAACCAGTCTTATGATAGGTTATTGACAAATGCTGAACAGACCACGCCTCCAAACTGTACCGTGCGTTCGGGCAAATCGTTAATTATTCGCAAATGGGGTCAATTTGTGTAGTTTTGTTGATTTACTCTGCAGACATAGGTAAAATATAGGTAAGGCTTTGGCGAAATTTGAAAGAGCAACTAATAATCTTCAACCTGGTATTTTTTATAGATTTTATTTTTCATTCTGTTCGTCTGATTTTTCCAGTTTAAAAATTATGAGCTGGCTGGAGCCTTCATCCATTGTCTATTTCTTACACTAGATACCAGCCTATACCCTCCCCCGGCTCATAGGGAGTGCGTACAGTTGATCATAGTTCCTGGGTTCCCTGTTGTGAAATACAGCTTTTCCTAACGTGATCACACACGGGTTCGTCGGCCAGTTATGAATGGCCGGCTTTAGCGAAACTGCGATTCGGACGATATCTTTCCATGTGCAATGCTGTCTTTGAATGTACCGTTGAGAGTTCTTTGAATTTGATTTTCTTTCCATATAACGATCAATGATGTTGTTTCCTTAGCATTCAAATTGACTCCTCCCATGGCCATCATTGTTGCAATTGGAAAAAAGTTTTGAAACTGCCCAAAAAAAATCACGTACCTAATTAGTACATTTACTCAAGAATAGTGGCGATTATTCATTATGTGATTATCAGGTTCTTGTTCATACATGCACTGCAGTTAGGCTGACCTAACTTGGGGATTAAGATTAGGGCCAGCCGTGGCACCACAAGACTTGACTTATTTACCCTGGCTTAAGTATTTATTTTGCTTGTTTTCACACACAAAATTTAGTCAAGTTAAAATGTTAGTATTCTTAAGGCCAGCCTCATTCTCAAATGTGAAGCTACCTTCTTACAACACCCTATCATTCAGTAAATATTAATTTAGATCACAAAAACATGAAATATGTTCACTATTTAAAACTTATTTAAGAGGATGTCATGAAGTTTAAAACCACAACTAACATGAAGTTTAAAACCACAATATCACTGTCCATCTAAAAATCAAAATCGGTTCTGATTCGATAATTGTGAAATTTACTTAACAAATTTGATTCCTCAACAGTTTTGTTATGTCAGTGTTAACTCGTGAAAAATCCAACTGTATTATTTATACAACTGCACTTTTGGGTGACGAATATGATGTTTAACATAAATTTGTTATATTAGTTTTGTTATATTTGTTATATATTTGTTATATTATAATTGCTAATATATTGAATTAAATTGATATATACAATGGGAAATACTTTCAGACAATAGGTTCTTAGCTTCCACCTTCTGTTTGTGTGATTGTTATTGTGTTTTTATTTCAGTTGAATTTGAAACAATGAAAAAATTTTGCAAAAGCTTCCGAAATGAGAACCGTATACCAGAGGCGAGATTATGTGAGATGAAGGAAGCATATGAACTCATAAAGGCACTTCAGAAAAGAGATGTTATAAATGAAGATAATACAAGATTTCTACAGGCTCTTCTTAAAAAAGTTGGACGTCATGACTTGGCAAAAAGACTGACGAAATGTGGTATGTAATACTTATTTATGTCGCTTATATTTCAAGGTCATTGGTACTGTGTACACAACTCCTTGGTGTTTCATGTTGTATCTCAATGTCCATCTCTTAAAATGCTCAAGTTGTCTCTGTAAACCAGTCTCTGCTGAACAGGCGGCATTTGACACCCTATTTTGAGGTACACACAAAATATTATGCATAATTAAGTATTTTGAACACACAGAAAACTATACTAAAAATAAGATATAGAACAGCCACAAAAACGTTGTTATTTGCATAAAAGTAGTATGCCTTCAAGTCCAATGATGTACAAGTGTTGTATCGACACTTTCTGTGGAACATTAATAATTCTGTCAAAATAATTTAGATAGATCGCATAAAACAACTCAAAATAAACGATTATTGAATTATTTTAATGAATAAATTAAACCACTTGTTGTAAAAACGTTTTTTATAAGCTTTGAATTACTTAAGGGAAACACGTTGTGCAATTCTAGCCTTTCATTCATTCCTTTTAAATTTCTTTCGAGTATTTCCATTCACGTTAGTTTTCTAAATGTATTAACATATTGTAACAGTTGAAGAACTAAAGAAATAAGAAAAATATTTTCACATTACAAAATTACCTTTTAAAAAAAAAATGAATTCGATGACTGTAAATAAATTGATCAAAGGTCAAATCAGATACAGTAATATGTGGGAAAGATACTGAGACCATGATGTGTGAGAAAGATACTGAGACCATGATGTGTGAGAAAGATACTGAGACCACGATGTGCGAGAAAGATACTGAGACCACGATGTGCGAGAAAGATACTGAGACCACGATGTGTGAGAAAGATACTGAGACCACGATGTGTGAGAAAGATACTGAGACCACGATGTGCGAGAAAGATACTGAGACCACGATGTGTGAGAAAGATACTGAGACCACGATGTGTGAGAAAGATACTGAGACCACGATGTGTGAGAAAGATACTGAGACCACGATGTCCGAGAAAGATACTGAGACCACGATGTGTGAGAAAGATACTGAGACCACGATGTGTGAGAAAGATACTGAGACCACGATGTGTGAGAAAGATACTGAGACCACGATGTGTGAGAAAGATACTGAGACCACGATGTGTGAGAAAGATACTGAGACCACGATGTGTGAGAAAGATACTGAGACCATGATGTGTGAGAAAGATACTGAGACCATGATGTGTGAGAAAGATGCTGAGACAGTGATGTGTGAGAAAGATACTGAGACAGTGATGTGTGAGAAAGATACTGAGACAGTGATGTGTGAGGAAGATACTGAGACAGTGATGTGTGAGGAAGATACTGAGACAGTGATGTGCGAGAAAGATACTGAGACCATGATGTGTGAGAAAGATGCTGAGACAGTGATGTGTGAGAAAGATACTGAGACAGTGATGTGTGAGAAAGATACTGAGACAGTGATGTGTGAGGAAGATACTGAGACAGTGATGTGTGAGGAAGATACTGAGACAGTGATGTGCGAGAAAGATACTGAGACAGTGATGTGTGAAAAAGGTAGTGAGACAGTGATGAGTAAAAAAGATACTGAGACAGTGATGTGTGACAAAGATACTGAGTGTGATGTGTGGGAAAGATAGTGAGACCGTGATGTGTGAGAAAGATGCTGAGACAGTGATGTGTGAGAAAGATACTGAGACAGTGATGTATGAGAAAGATACTGAGACAGTGATGTGTGAGAAAGATACTGAGATAGTGATGTGTGAGAAAAATACTGAGACAGTGATGTGTGAGAAAGATACTGAGATAGTGATGTATGAGAAAAATACTGAGACCATGATGTGTGAGAAAGATACTGAGACAGTGATGTGTGAAAAAGGTAGTGAGACAGTGATGTGTAAAAAAGATACTGAGACCGTGATGTGTGGGAAAGATAGTGAGACCGTGATGTGTGAGAAAGATGATGAGACAGTGATGTGTGAAAAAGATACTGAGATAGTGATGTGTGAGAAAGATAGTGAGACCGTGATGTGTGAGAAAGATGCTGAGACAGTGATGTATGAGAAAAATACTGAGACCATGATGTGTGAGAAAGATACTGAGACAGTGATGTGTGAAAAAGGTAGTGAGACAGTGATGAGTAAAAAAGATACTGAGACAGTGATGTGTGACAAAGATACTGAGACCGTGATGTGTGGGAAAGATAGTGAGACCATGATGTGTGAGAAAGATGATGAGACAGTGATGTGTGAAAAAGATACTGAAACAGTGATGTGTGAGAAAGATAGTGAGACCGTGATGTGTGAGAAAGATGCC